GATTTCCCCCCCCCCCATTCTTCACTTTCCCCTTTCCCTTCTTCTACCTCCGACAAAAATCGCTCCGTTTATGTCTCCGCTTCCTTTCCCAACATCATCTTTCACCCAAACCCATCATTCCGTCGTTCTTCACTACGCAAAATCGACGCTTCGTTTCCTTAGCGATGCCTCGAGAATCAAATCGTCGCCGAAGGATGGTACTTATATATAGCATGCCTCAGATTTTCATACCCAAATCCCTAATTTCCAAATCACAGCATCGGCTAATCCCTTGGCGGCGATTGGTCCGTACGCTACGAAAATCTTTCGGCGTCACTGGAGGCGAAGGTCGTCGGCGTCATCGGCGAAGGTTTGTTTACGGAAACACTTTACAAATTTTTCCATTGTAGTGAAATTTACCATATATTGCGACATTTGATTCCCTGTAAATGATCCATAATTCCTAAATGGCTTCTGCTGACCTATAATCTCTGTTTTACCTTTAATCTTTACTAAAATTGATTCATAATTGCTTTGATTTATTCCATTGGTACTCGCTGTTATTAAATTTTATTATGCAGGCTAATTATCACTATTTTGCTATCATCGATCAGGTATTAGCCAGCATTTTGTTATTTTTTTAGGTTTTATTTATTAACAAAATGCTAATGAAATTAAGAGAGCCATAATTCTGTTTTAGACCCTCCTAAAAAAATAACAAAATGCTGATTAGCTGCGTAGTTCTAATGACATGCTAATGAAATTAAGAGAGCCATAATTCTGTTTTAGACCCTCCTAAGAAGTTTTGTTTTAAAAATCAGCATTTTGTTATTTTGTTAGGTTTTATTTATTAAAAGAAGAGTAATCCATCGTTTAAAGTAGCTTTCAATAATTCTTAATTTTATCTGGAACTACCTACCTTCAGTAAGTCTCTCACTCATTTCTTTCATTAATTAGGAGTACCATGTTGAGGTTGTTTATCAAGCATATTTTACTCTTCCCTTGTGTTTAATAATTTTCTAAGTATTCCTTGAAACTTATATTTTACTCCAGACTAACTATCACCAACATGAACACGAAGTGGCTGATATATATTGGAAGTTCTTATCTACGAATTTATTCATATGCATGTGTTATATGTCTTGTGTTTATGTATCTGAGTACATGTTTGTATGGATGCATTTTGTAATGTATGCATGCATATATCTATATACATATGTACTTATGCATGCATCTGTATGAATGTATGTTGTACATGTACATATTCATATAGCTTATTCTTTTCCTTTCCCATTTAGTTGGCTTATCCTTGATATGAGAAAATCTGGAGTTAGCAGTTTGTCTGGCAGGTTGGAACTTTGCTATTTGTTAGGTGCTGTGGTTCAAATTGTGTAAATTAATCATAAACCATTCTGATGGCCTACTTAAATACATGTTTTGGGAGCATGAGTATATGCATGTAGGTACCTTTGAACATAGTATTTACATGCATATATGTATGTTCCTGTGAGTATACATGTTGTATGCATGTAATTTTTTTATTCATGCATGCCTATATATATTTTTTATTCATGTATGTAATTTTTTTTATTCATGCATGCCTATATATATTTTCATATATATAATTTTTTTATTCTTTCACGCATCTATATATTTTTTTAAGTGGTTCATACCTATGAAATTTATGCTACTTCCTTAGTGATCCAGTTATTTCGGTGGGAGATTCATTTTGGGCTTGAAACGGGAGAAACCTATGCTCCTACTCCATTTCCGTATATATCAACATAACATTGTGATGATCAAGGCACCACATAGATGTGCGTGAGAAGTAAAGCAGTTTATGGTTATGTCTTGCAGGTTGAAGGTTGATAATAATAGTTCAATGTGATAGAATACTTCTCATTGAAGTTTTATCTAAATCTTACTTTAGTGATGACTTTTGGAGATCTTTTTAGGGTAAAGTTAAAAGCATCTGAACTATGAAATCAATTCCTAATCAAACTTAATAAGCTGATTGTTGACACCATTTGACATGCAAAGAAGTCAGTACTAAAAATAGTTATTCACTTTAGCAAATTTTGGGCATATCAACATGTAAGAAAAAGGGTAAATTATCAAACTTGATGGTGTTTTAGTATACCGTGTAGAGCTAAACCAGATAGATCGGTCAACCTATCTGGTTCATTTTGGAAATGTATTGTATTTGACTTGGTACTCTACCTGCATTTGACTTATATAAATATCATTTCAAATAAATAACCTTGTCCATCTCCCTGAGTCAACCTATCTGAATAGGATTTTACTCTGCAACCATGAGATTTGTGTCCATATAGGCACAAATTTGCCTATATAATACAAGGATTCTTTCTCCACTATGTTATGGTACCTGACACCCTAAATACAGGACAAATATTACAAAAGTATTGTGATAAAAAAGCATTAAATGATTAATATATGTGTTATATGTTGTATCTTCCAAGCTTCTTACTTTAAGCATTGTGAAGTACCTTCAGATTGTTGAGTTTCCTGAACAAGAAATTTTTATCTTCAAAGATTACAGCAGGTTGTCAGATTCAGTTGTTTAGCTTCAAAGGTATGATTTTACATGTTATAATCTTTTAATTGCAATTTTCATTTCAGATTCAGTTGTTTAGCTTCAAAGGTATGATTTTACATGTTATAATCTTTTAATTGCAATTTTCATTCAATGTAACAGAAGCTTCATAATATTATAAATTTTTAAAACTTTATATATTTTGAAATTGCTGATTCTATTAGTCGCACGACTATGAAACAAAGGTATTAGCCAATGTTACCATTTTAATTTTTGTTTTCTAAATTTTCATATGCATCACACAAGATCCTAATTTGGTTGTAAAGAATCAAAACGACTATAAGCAAGAGTAGTCGTCAGCAATGATGGAATATTGGTTGCGGGTTGTTCTTGCTGTATTCTGGTTTTTTTCCTATATGTGTTGGAAGACTTTGCAATTTTAATAATATTACTTGAAGCCAGTTAGCATGTAAATAAAATGATACTGAGAGAATATTGTCAATGACCCATTAACAATTCCTTGCAGCTTCTCATTATCGTTTTGACACTGTTCATCAGTCAATTCCAACAATTTCTCCAAGGAGTATGAATCAAATAAATTTAATTAATTAATTGAAATATGGTTTTATTTCTTAATGAAAAACTTAACCATAGATTAATTAGAGACATAGCTATCTTAATTACTCAAATTTTATTGAGTAGATTATTGATCATATGTTGTCTTAGGATTCTAATCACAAATACTAACATATATTTTTTTTATTTTTTTAGTGATGGCGATTGTGAAACGAACAGCAAGAAAAAGAACATTATCATTCTGGAGAAGGGATGATCATCAAATTAGGCTCGCATTCCCCTATCGCAAACCTACCAAGCTAGAGTATATGACACATAAGTTCAAAAGAAATGAGACAACAGATGAACACATTTCAAATATGCGAAATATATTATTTAATATGGAAGTTCAATGTGAGCCTGCATTGAGTGAAAAAGAAAAAATAGATGGACTGGTCAATTCCTTGCCGGATGAGTTTGGCTTTATTAAGTATAGATTGCTTAATAATTCTACTTTTGATGATGTTGTTCTCGAAATGAGACTTATTAACTTCGACTGGAATTTTAAACGACAATGTAGACGCACTGCAATTTTGTATTATTTTACTACATCAATTATTGTATATTAGACAAATCTGTGCATCGCACGGGCTTGAAACTAGTTTTAATATTAAAACTCAACTTTTTAGTCCTTTTCAGCCCAGTTATGCTCAAGTAGCTCAGAATTAGGTACTCCTAAAAATATGACGTGGTAGGGGTTTTAAGAAAGTGTTTCTATATCTCATTGGGAGAACCAAACTCAAATTTAGGAATCCGGTTTGAGCTACTTTCCTTATTTTCTGTCATTGACGCGTTTTGTAGCTGTCAGATACTTTCCAAGTTTTCCTTTGTATTCCTCGTGACTAAACAAACACTAAAGATATGTCTTTACTTAGGGGCTGTAAAGTTTTATGAAAGAAAATGGAGGACTAGTGATAAGTGTACTATAATTTTTCTACTACTTTGGCATCACTTACAAAAGAGTAATGACTATTTTCAAGTAAGGCCCCCAATCAGTATCAAAGTAGTACACAAAAAGGTGGTATATACATGCTTACAATTTTCCTAAAAAAAATGATGTCCATGTCACTTTTTTCTATACTAGTTTCCTTTTCTCTATTATTCCTTAAATAGTTTCATCTGCAGTGTTTTATTAATTCTTTTTTTGATAAATGAAAAATTTAATTCATCACCAATATGAGAAATGTATATACATCAATCATCTCATCATTTGTATGAGATAACAAAAGAAAACCTGAAAGCTAATGTACAGAGTATAGAAAGCATGAGCATAGTTATAAAGCTAAGATCCCCTGAACCAGTCGAATCTCTGGAACTATCTCTTCTGTGAGCTTCCTCAAAAATTTTGCATTTTACACTGTCAACAAGCACCTGACAATAAGCTGAAACCTGATCTATAAAGATAGTATCCAGTCTTTATTCTCTGTAGCAGTATCGCTATTTAGAATGGCTGTCATTCGGTCCACCTTGATGATCTTGATAACAAGCATTATATCTCTGCTTTTTTGTTTAAAGATCCTCCCATTTCGTTCAATCCAGATATTATAGATAGTGGATGTAAATGCCATTCTTTTAACTTTGTGCTTGAACATTTTCCCCCTTAAGTTGCAGCTATACCAATTCAATAATTGGTTTAAATCACAACTTCTCCACCTAAAACAGAGCCACTCCATTATTCCATTCCAGACATCTTTAGAAAATTTGCATTCAAAGAACAGATGATTAGAACTTTCTGTTTCTGCTCCCGAGCATAAAAAACATCGATTTGCTTGAATGATTCCTCTCCGCAGCAGTTTATCTTGGGTTAAGAGTCTATCTTGGACTGCTAACCATGATATAAAAGATTGTTTAGGTTGGTTAAAACCCCCCAGATAGTTACACTCCATGGCACTTTGCTAATAGCAGGAGATAGAGCATGATATAAATCTGACAACTTGATTTTTGAATTCCTGCAGCAAGAATTGATTAGATTCTTCAGATTTTCCAATCCTCCACATTAAGAAATGCCTTTATTCCTGGCCTTAATTAACTGCTTCCACATTCAAGAATCACTAGCTTTCGTTTCCACTCTCCATACATCCATATGCTTTAGATAGTTGCCGTGGATCCATTTGATCCATAATAACTCTTTGTTGACATGGATGTCCCATAATAACTTCAGAGCTACCGCCAAGTTCCAGATAGTAGATGAGAAAATTCCCAGTCCACCGTACAATTTGCTTGTGCACACTCTGTCCCAAGAAACCAGTGATTGTTTAAATGTAAGATCATCCTTACCCCAGAGGAAATTCCTACAAAGTTCATCCACTTTTTGCAGCACTATCACTGGTAGAACATAGCTAGAATTCCAGTAAATTTGAATTCCCAGAATTACACTTTTTATCACCTGTAATCTTCCAGCATATGACAGTTTTCTGTTCTTCAAACTGTTTTGTAATTGACTGGAGATTTTTCTTATGAGAGGGTTGCAATCCAGGTAGTTTAGTCTCTTGCATACAAGAGGTACACCTAGGTATCTTATTGGCATTTTTCCTTCAGTGTATCCCAAGTAATTTTGGATTGATTCCTTTATAGCATCATCTACTCCCCCATAGAAGATAGCACATTTATTGGGATTTGCTTGAAGACCTGATACCTGACTAAATCTGTTGATACACTGGTGGATTTGTTGAACAGACTTGAGATCACCTTCGCAAAAAAGTAACAAATCATCTGCAATTATAAGGTGAGATATTTTTTGCCTTCCACATTTAGGATGAAATTTGAAATTTCCATCTTGCTCAAGAAGGTTCAAACTTCTTGTAAGATACTCCATTCCCAAAATAAACAAGTATGGAGAGAGGGGATCTCCTTGTCTTAGACCTCTTTCAACCTTAAAGTAACCATGTAATGAGCCATTGAGAGATAGTGAATACTTTGGAGTAGTTATACAAGTCATGATTCTGCTTACTATAACCTTTGGGAAGCCCAGGCCTTGAAGCATCTCTTCTATAAAATTCCAATTAATAGTGTCAAAAGCTTTTCTAATGTCAATGTTAACCATGATTCTAGGAGAGATGTGCTTCCTTCCATAGTTTTTAACTAATTCATGAGCTAATAGAATGTTATTAGTAATGTGCCTTCCTTTTACAAAAGCACTTTGTGCTTCACTAATGAGACATCCCATTACTGACTGAATCCTATTTGTAAGGATTTTTGAGATGATTTTATATAGGAAATTGCAACAGGAGATTGGTCTGAAATCTGCAGGAGTGTTTGGACATGATACCTTAGGGATTAGAGTAATGGATGTGGAGTTTATGGTACCCAACATTTTCCCTGTGCTGAAAAATTCTTCAACTGCAAGGATTACTTCATCCCCTATTGGACCCCAAGCTGATTTAAAGAAAGAAGCTCCATATCCATCTGGACCTGGGGACTTATTGTCTGCCATAGAGAAAACATCCCTCTTTATCTCATCCTTTGTAACTGGTAAAGAAAGACTACTAACTTGATTTTCATTCAAACAAGGTCCTTTTTTGATGATCCTGAGATCTGGAGGAAGAGTAGTTTCTGCTGTACCCAAAAGGTTCTTGAAATAAGAGATAAGATCATTTGCAATCTCCCCTCCCTCTGTAATCCTTTCACCCAAACTGTTTTTAAGAACCAGTATTCTATTCTGGTGCCTATTTGCTTTTATAATAGAATGAAAATAGCTTGTACATCTATCACCTTTAATGCTCCAGTGAATTTTTGCTTTTTGTTGGAAAAAAGACAATTCACATTCCAAGAGTTTGTTATAAGTAGACAAGCAATCTTTCTCTTGTTTGATGAAGTCATGGTTGAGAGGGTCCTCCTGCAGTTTTTTTTTTGAATTTCCTCCAGTGCATATTTGGCTCTTACTACTTGTTCACTGATATTTCCATAGTGTTTCCTGTTTAATTCCTTTAGAGCTCCCCTCAGTAGCTTGAGTTTAGTAACAATTGAAAACATTTTGTAACCTGCAACCTGCCTTTGCCATATTGAAGATACTGTGGACATGTAGTTGCTGTGATTAGTCCACATGTTAAAAAACTTGAGAGACTTCTTTCCTTGTTTTTCCTCCTCATATATTGAAACTAATGCAGGTGAGTGATCTGAGAAGTTAGGAAGCAAGAATTCAACATGGCTAGAGTTATAATTTTGTATCCAAGAGTCATTTACAAGAGCCCTATCCAATCTGCACCATACCCTAGAGTCCTGATCTTGCTTGTTGTTCCAGGTAAAGAAACAACCCTCTGTTTTGAGGTGCAATAAATGGCTGTTCTCAATAAAAGAATTGAAATCCCTTGTATCTGCATCTGTAAGAGCAATTCCTTCTAATTTTTTTATCATTATTGATCATAGTGTTGAAATCTCCACAAACAAGCCATGATGTATTTCCAGTGATTTGATGCACTTGGAGCAACTCATTCCATAAAATTTTTCTTGAATCCTGATGGTTATGACCACAGACAGAAGAAAAAATACAATTTATCCTGATGGTTATGATCATAGTGTTCAAAAGAATAGGCCTAGAACTAAAGAACCAATGTTCATTCTCCAAAATTTTCCTCATATCTTCTATGTTCTTGAATTTGAATAAAAACAGACCAGGTTTTAATAGAAAAGTTTCAGGCACAGCCAAATTTCCCCATATCTTCTGCACATAATTCTCCATTGCTTTGAACTTAGCATTTAATCCTAAAATCTGCCCAATTAGGGAAAACTTCCAAAAAGATTCCCCTTCATTCCATTCATCTTCATCAAAAGTAACTGTGTCATTAATATCAGGAGGCACATAATTCAAGCTAAAACCATTTCCAGGCTTTCTATTCTCAGCGAATAAACTAGTCCAACTTTTCTTTGCCATAACAGGATCAGGAATTGGTGTTTTAGTTGTTTTCTCAAGAGGAGGGAAATTTTCCCCATTCAAGAAATCTGTTGTTGGATAAGAATTTATCCTATCAAGATTCATAGATATTTTATCTAGATTCGTCAAGGAATCCAATTTCATAGAAGTTTTATCATTATTTGAGAAAATCTTCAAAGAGATATCTGATTCTTGATCATCTGCCCAAGAAAATCGAGAAGTGCTACATTCACCAGTTATAGAGTTCAAAGACTTACAAAGCTGCCTCGATTGTAATCCACAAACCTCAGGAGATTTCTGAGGTTGAAGAGAATTAACCACGAACTTGCTAGAGTTGAGGATGTCTGTCATCAGTAACTTCTTCTTCTCTCCCTTTGGTCCCGTAGATCACATGACCTCATGGTTTAATCCTTCATCATCTCCATTTCATGGAATGGAACAAAGTCATTTTTATCTAAAAATCAAGCATCAATTTTGTCCAAGTTTTTAGAGAGTTTGTCAAACTTACCCTAACTTTCACACATTCGGACACAAATATTATAAACTATTTTTCATAAGAAAATTTTATTTTAAATTTGAAATCTAGAAAAAATGTTCTATATTATCAGAAAAATATTATAGCTACATTAGCATAATTAAAAGGTCTAAGATAAATCAAATAATTAAGAGAAATATATGATAAGTAGTTACATAAAGTCAAACATGTCACATGTGTCATGTCTCAATTTACACTAAAACTTTGTCACTCATTGGGGTTTAGT